TTTTAAAAATATATTTTTTATTGATTTTAGAGAGGGAGAGAGAGAGAGAGAGAGACATCAGTGGTGAGAGAGAATCACTGACCGGCTGCCTCCTGCACACCCCACCCTGGGGATGGAGCCCACAGCCTGGGCATGTGCCCTGACCGGGAATGGAACCGTGACCTCCTGGTTCATAGGTCCATGCTCAACCATTGAGCCACGCTGGCCGGGCTGAGGTTTCTTCTCCTCACTGGCTTGTGCCCTCCCGCCTGTCCCCTCCGCTCTCCCCTCACACTTCCTTCCTCCCTCTGGGACCTCTGTGCTTGGCCGTGTGGCCATAACCTCCTGCCAGGGGCCCAGGTGGCCCGTTCCTACCGAGCATCTGAATGTCTCTGTGGTGTCCCTCAGGGAGGCTGCTGGGAACAGAACAGGTAAGAGAATAGGGGCTGCCCTAGCCGGTGTGGCTCAGTGGATAGAGCGTCGGCCAGTGGACTGAAGGGTCCCAGGTTCGATCCCGGTCAAGGGCACGTATCTCGGTTGTGGGCTCCATCCCCGACCCTGGTCGGGGCAAGTGGGGGAGGCAACCAATGAATGTGTCTCTCTCACATCGATGTTTCTCTCTGTCTCTGCTCCTCCCTTCCCCTCTCTCTAAAAATCAATGGGAAAATATCCTCAGGTGAGGATTAACACACAAAAAAAAACCAAAAAAAAATGAGTGGCCTTCTCTGATGCATAGGGTCCCCGAAGGAGAAGGCTGACACGGGGACAGATGGTTCCTCGGGGACAGGCCGCGGTGTCCGTGAGGCCTGGCGAGTGTCCTGGGACGCTTGGTGCCCTGCCCTCCTTCTCATGTGCACAGCCCGCCCGTTCGCTTTCTAAGCGGCTGCTTCCACGCAGCGGCCCGCGAGCAGCGGGGCCAGGAGGCACTTCTTTGACCCGAAGGGTGCTGGTGGCACAGGGAGGCACTGGGCCAGGCCCCTCTGGGAGGAGTGTGACAGGGTCCTCTGTGGGGATGGCGGCGGCGGGAGGACGAAGACACCAACCCGAGCTCATTGGTGAGTGGGGGGGATGGGGGGGCGACAGCGCCCTCCACAGGCCCTACTGCGCTCGCTCAGCTCCTACTGGAGGCAGAGTCCACAGGCCCTGCCCTGACCCCAACCAGAACCCTGTCCCGAGACATCCCATCGCACACGGTTTTTGGACCTCTGCTGGGTCACACACCTTGGACTTTGTCTCCTAATCAGCTCTGTGCATTCCTTACCCTCCCATGGACCGCAAGCTGCAGGGGATGCCACTCCAGGCCACGTGCGGGGAGGGGAGTCTGTGCTCCCCTCTCACACCCCAAATGCCCCTTCCGGACCCTCTATCCAGGAAGGAAGGGAGACACGGGCTCACAGGGGGTGGGATGGGATAAGGGGGTGGGAAGGGGGAAATGAGGTCTGTCTCCTGCTTGGTGCCCTGACCTCCAGGTCCCCCCCAAAACGTCCCAGGAAAGCGTTTCGCTCTCCCCGTGTCCTCCCTGAGAACCTCCACTCTGCACACACTGCCCCCCCAGCTCAGCCTCCTCTCCCGGCTGCCCCAGGGGGCGGCACTGACCTTGGGGGGAAGTGGGCCTTGAACTTGGTCTGGAACATCCTGGCCAGGATGACGAGCAGCAGCACCAGCAGCACGCTGGTCGCCGTGAACGCCACGATCTTCCACGTGGTCAGGAGGGTCTCGTGGGTGTTGGGCCACGTTTGCTCTGCGGGGGGGGAGGGGGGAGAGAGAGAGAGAGAGAGAGAGAGAGAGAGAACAAAGGGGCACACGAGGCTCCCGGACTGTACCGGGTGTGGTGCGGAGGTTCCCACGCACCTGGCCCGTGGCCTCGGGATCCCACAGCACTAACCCGTCCCCAGCGGCCTCTGCCAGGTTGGAGGGCGACCTGCATGCGCCCATTCCACACCCGTGAGAGCCTGCTTCTCAGGCCGAGAATGAAGGGGGCCCCTCCCCTGGGGAAGTCGTGTCCAGGAGCAGGGAAGGGGCGCTGAGCTATCGGACTTTGTGAGGGTCTGGGATGGACTGTGGGGTGGGGTGGGGTGGGGTGAGAAAGAACCGGAAGCTGGAAGGGCCGTGGAGAGGCATGGCCATCACACGCTCCAGGTAAGGGGAGGCCAGGGCTGACCCCCAAAACAGTCCTGCCCTTGGCCACAAGCCGCCCCCCCCCCTCCAGCCCCGTCTCTTACACTTGCCCTGTGTGGCTGCTGGTTCCTCCTCCCTCCTCTCATCTTTTTTGGTTTGTTTGTGAATCCTCACCCGAGGACATTTCCCCAGGGATTTTTAGAGAGAGTGGAAGGGAGAGGGAGAAGACACAGAAAAAGAAACATCGATGTGCAAGAGACACATCCATTGGTTGCCTCCTGCCACGCCCCATCCAGGGCCAGGGATGGAGCCTGCAACTGAGGTACACGCCCTCGACCGGAATCGAACCCATGACCCTTCAGTCCGAGGGCCGAAGCTCTAACCACTGAGAAAAACTGGCTAGGGCCTCCCACCTCTCGTCTTGCTCAGAAGCGACCCGTAGGCCTTCCTGCACTGCTCCTCCAGCTGGTTCCCATGACCCCGGTGGGCCTCCGGGTCCCGTGTTGACCGAAGCTTCCCTCACATGCTGTGTCCAGGGGGAAAGTGTGCAGCATCCCCACTGCTCAGGGCAGGTGGCCAGGGGCGCCCCTGGGAAACCCCAGGGTGGGGGGGGAGGGGATGGGAGGGAGGAGACGGTGGGTGGGTGTCGCTGGTGCTCCGGTCTCTGTACCCTGGAACCCTGAGGCCCGTGGTTTGCCGGTAACGTGTTATTAACTAGCAGGTACTTAAGTCTGCACACGGCTGATGTTCTCCTAAGCGCCAGCACGTCTAACCCACAGTGTCATTTCTGTGGGCCCGGCCGTGGGGCCAGCGTGGGCCCGGGCAGCTCACCTGACTTGATGCAGTAGACTTGATAGGAAGGAAACCACTCCCCGTACTGGCAGGTGATGTACTTGTAGTCACTGGTGAGGCTGTAGCCGGGGTCGCAGTAGAACTCCACGACGGTCCCGTGGTTGTAGCGATCGCAAGGCCGCGGGTGGCAGACGAAGTCGCCGTGGCTCACCATGGGAGGTAGCGGGCAGACTTGGGCAGTGGGGAAGAATAAGGGTGTGAGTACCAGGTGCTCACCGCGTGGGAAGCCCTCCGCACTGGGTGACCGCAGTCCCGAGAGATGCGCTGGCCCGTCCGCCACCGGGCTGGCGCGTCGTGCCAGGGACGGTCCCTTCTGAGCGCCCGCTGCTCTCACCCGGTCTTATAAGGCACCTTGTCAAAGGGAGGTTCGCTTTACATGGCAAAGAGTGTGCCTGCTTAATAGATAGCATGGAGCTACTCTACTCCTCATGCAGGCTGTTAGGTGCCAGACAACCTAGTACAGTGATGGCAAACCTCTGACACGTGAACTCATTTTTTTGGTTGATTTTTCTTTGTTAAATGGCATTTAAATATATAAAATAAATATCAAAAATATAAGTCTTTGTTTTACTATGGTTGCAAATATCAAAAAATTTCTATATGTGACACAGCACCAGAGTTAAGTTAGGGTTTTTCAAAATGCTGACACGCCGAGCTCAAAAGGTTCGCCATCACGGTGCTGTCCTCTCCTCTGTTTTTACTCTTTTTACTTATGCTCTCCCCTCTGTCTGAAGTGCCATGTCCCCTGCATGTCACCAGACTGACTCTTGCTCCTTTAAAAAGACTCAGCTCAGCCCCTACCCTCATTCCATCCCATCCCAGGCTAGGAGACTTCCCTGGAATCCTGGCGCGTCGCCCAGGGACGGTCCCTTCTGAGCGCCCGCTGCTCTCACCCGGTCTTATAAGGCACCTTGTCAAAGGGAGGTTCGCTTTACATGGCAAAGAGTGTGCCTGCTCAATAGATAGCATGGAGCTACTCTACTCCTAATGCAGGCTGTTAGGTGCCAGACAACCTAGTAAATAAGACTAAGATACTTGTGGGCAAAATGCTTACCGAAAGGAACAGAGGTGTTTTCCATCTTTAGATTTATTCACCGACTCATGAGTCAACCCATCCCTAAGCCTGGCCCCCAAGAGATGGTTCCATGAAGACATGAGAGCTGGCACCTGAGCCCAGATCCACTGTGCCCCCGGGGCCGATGGAGGCCCCCCAACAGGCTGTCTGCCTGTTGACAGCCAGGGATGGAGGGCTGGGGGCAGCCGGCTGGAACCTGGGGGATCCCTTCTCTGAAGGTGAGTGTGTGGTGGGGGAAGGGGTGTCCTCATTTCTTAATTTGGTGGGAGACACCATTCCAGAATTCTGCCACCTTTGCTCCCTTCGGTGGGGCTTACCGAAAGGAACAGAGGTGTTTTCCATCTTTAGATTTATTCACCGACTCATGAGTCAACCCATCCCTAAGCCTGGCCCCCACGAGACGGTTCCATGAAGACATGAGGGCTGGCAGCTGAGCCCAGATCCACTGTGCTCCGGGGCTGATGGAGGCCCCCCAACAGGCTGTCTGCCCGGTGACAGCCAGGGATGAAGGGCTGGGGGCAGCCGGCTGAATGTGAGTGTGTGGTGGGGGAGGGATGTCCTCATTTCTTGATTTGGTGGGAGAAGTCATTCCAGAATTCTGCCACCTTTGCTCCCTTCGGTGGGAAGAAGAATCCCCTCTCTTCTTCCTTCAACGTCAGTGTAAGTCCCTGCATGTGACTGAGGCAAAAAACATACTACTTCTAAGACACCAGAGAGCTGGAGGGCTGATGGTCACGTGTTCCCAGTGAGGCAAAAGGAAGGCGAGGTGCGGAGAGGACCTGCCCAGGGGCGAAGGCCCGTGGACAGGGGACACGACAGGGGTGAGGGGGGCGGAGTTCAGGGCCACCCTCCAGGTCAGGGCTCATAAAATCCAAGGAAAAAGGAGCCGGGAGAGAAATAGCAGGGAAGCCTGAAAACTTGGTTCCGCTTGAAAAACAGGAACAAGACCTCCTGGCTTAGCACAGAAAGATCAGCGTCTCTAGATTCAACCTAGAAAAAATATAAGGGCGCTGCTTGATGCCAAGGCACAGTCTACCCTCGAGGACAAGAGTGATGCGTGAGCGAGAAGATGGAGAAGCCACAGTGGCAATTACTTCTTGTAAGAGAGAGAGAGAGAGAGAATGAGGCACGGTGGTCCCTGCGACACGCCGGTGACACGCAGGCAGTCATTTCCCTGTAATCACCGTGCCGTGATATGATCCGTGCCGTGATGTATGATCCGTACACGGGAAGGAATGGCAGTAATTTACCATTGCGTGTGAACAATACATTAACGAGCTTGCCTGCGACTTTGCATTTCCCTCTAATAAAGTAAAATTTAAAAAAAACCCTCCTGGGGTCACGGGCAAGGCGGTTATAATACAAACAGTGTCACACCGAGGAATCTGCAGGAAACAAAAGTTGGCAGGAAACAGAGCAGAGGGTGCTACGCACCAACCTACGGGCCAAGAGGGCAGAGCAGGTTCTGTTTGCAGAACGACCCCGCGTCCTTCCAGACAGACAGGGCTTCCCTGGCTAATGTCCCCGACGTGACAGGGCGAGTGCCTAAGATTTCTCCCTTCCCAGGTCCAGAGAACACACATGTCTGCAAAGGGGAAGGAACGATCTCTTTCGTTCTGGAGAATATGATAAGCAAACAATCCCCTAAGACGTTGACTCATGTACACGGAATTCCAAACGCGGGTTCTAAATGGGCTGTCTGCTCGCTGACTTGAAGGCTGGGAGTCGGCGGGGAGGGGGGGAAGGGGAGTCTGCGACCCGGCAAATCATTTCATTTCTCTGGTCTCAAGTTCCTAAGGAGGCAGAACCGGATGAATGATCTTCGTACTTGACAATGGCAAGTCTTCCTTCAGACAAACCCGCAGTGGGAACACAGTATGTAGCACAGAGCCCTCGGGGGTGGGCAGTTGGAACAGAGCTACCTTGGCCTCGTTGCTTCCGAGGGAACGCCTGGGCCTCAGGGCCTGGGGGTGGAGGGGAGGCGGGGAGCGGGCAGGAGTCCAAGCCCACCTGGCCAAGGGTTACCTGGCCTGGTATACACCTCTTCCCTCAGGCTAAGGAGAGGAGAGAAGGGTGGAGGCTGGGGCAAGTAGACAGAGCCCGTCCTGCCCCTTCCCATGGATAGAGGCCCCCCTGCCATGCTGGGTAAGGGAGAGAAGGGGCATTCGTTTTTCTTGTCTTCATCTTCTGCTGATTGGATTTCACATCGAATCCAGCTGCTGACAGGATCACGGGCGAGTGGACAGGGCGCTTGGCAGCCCAGGAGAGGAGGAGGAGGCCATGGCCCTGGCCAGTTGGTCCATGGACGGGTGGGAGGCTCTGGTGGGTGGGGGTGACCAGTTGGCCGCTGCTATTATCACTTCCAGTGAGGGGAGCAGGACTTGAATTCCTAATAGCAACGGCCCTGGGC